CGTTCTTAGCATGAAAGATAAAGGTTTTCCCGGCTACTTTAAAACATTTTCGTTCGAATTCATTCACCGATTCTTACATTCAATTTCGTCCAGCAACATCGATTTAGTGCACTTTCAATGTTTAATTTCGTCTTTTGTCAGACAATTTCAAATTTAGTTCGAACAAATTTAAACAATGAGCACACGTTTTTTACCCGGTGTATTCAATTTCGTCTCGTCTACGACGAATCGTGTAATTCAGACATCAACTTCGTCTAATTGATTTACATGTAATATAAGACGAATTCGATCTCTAAATCCTGCCATTCGGCAACAGCTAAGACTGATTTGATCTGTAATGACGAATACTCTCGACCCGGTGACTAAAAAGAATTACCAAACTTTTCTCCGACGGAACTGAATGTTAGAGTTAGAATCTGAATGAAAATGTTCTTTTCATAGCCGGTCATACCTTAGGAGACACCGGACATTATGTGACAGCTCCTATTTAGATGCAAAATATTTTCGTCGCCAATTGGCTAGTCTAGATCGATTGCTCTTGGTCCAAAACGTATATCAACATTTGTGGAGTTAGGATGAGAGAAAATCGGGATCAGGGTCATAAAAATTGGAAAAAATTATGTTTCGGCCTACAGCAGAACTAGGGGAATGTTTCCCTTTGGGCACCCTTCGCGTAATTATTATCATTAAAACTAATCGTAATTCAAATTTTAATATGCGGTTTTTTTTTATTTCACACTCTGTTATGGTGGCAATTCCGCACCAAATAAATCTTGGCAATGGGATGATCGTTTTTGATAACGTGATATGCTTAAAACATGTTCATGAATATGAAAGGTTTGATCCAAATAAAAGGTAAATATGCAAAGGTTTAGCTGGACAAAGTATATTTAAAAATGGACATTCGCCATACAAACCTACGTACATTTGCAATGTCCGTGTCTTCCCAGACAAACTTGTCAGGGCGTCTCGTGGGATCTGTCGGCGCGATTTACGGTAGGGGGCATCACAATCACGCCTTCTCATGGACTTTAAAAATATGGACATTCGCCATACAAAGCCATGGACATTTACAATGTCGGTGGGATCCGACGGCAAGATTGTCAGCGGGAGGGTGGGGGGGGGGTGCATCTCGATTACGCCTCCTCCCGGAGTTACATTTTGTTATGTCATTCGCCATACAAAGCTACGTACATTTGAAATGTCCTTGTCTTACCAGACAAACTTGTCAGGGCGTCTCGTGGGAAAAGTCGGCGCAATTTACGGTAGGGGCATCACAATCACGCCTTCTCATGGACTTTAAAGTATGGACATATTGCAATGTCCAATGTCCAATGTCCAAGTAAAATATGAACATTCGTCACACAAACATACGTACATTTGCAATGTCCGTGTCTTATCAGGAAAAACTTGTCAGGGCGTCTCGAGGGAACCGACGGCGCGATTCACAGCGGGGGGGGGGGGGGGGGGGGGGGTCTCACTTACGCCTCCTCACGGAGTTAAAAAAATATGGACTTTCGCTGTACAAACCTATGTGAATGTCCAATTTCAAATATAAAACTAACTTTATTGCTTTCTGGTTGCGGGATAGGGGTTGGGGCAGTTTTGACCCAGCCCAAACGTAACCCACGTAAAATATCGCATTTAATTTCCACCTTGAAAAACTTTCAAAAATTACAAAAGCAGGTGGCATTCGGATTCAGGGAAGTCTACTTTTGGTCGCAAAAGGCATTTTGAAATAATCCAATACTCCAGACAGTAATATCAGCACAGTTTATACAGAAATCCTTAACTACACAACAGCGTATATTTCCCTGCTTGTCATGCTTCGGGTATTATTTTGCTTTTCAGTAATTTTGCCCTTAACATTTGTACAGGATTTTTTTCCACGGCACTTTGGCCACTAAAGTCAATCCCATTGCCTTTACACTTGGCACACACCTGCAGATATGTGCCGAACATTTACATCATCACGTGACGTCACGTGACGTCACATTCAAGGTACATATTTTGAAGGCCTGTATCTACAGAAATGCAGTACAATTGGGTTGAAGTTGGTTGTACCTACAATCCCGGCCAAATGGTTGGGACACTTCTTGAGCCTGCCACGGTCACCACTCCCCCCGCTCACCCGGTCAATGTATTCCCAGCTGATGGAGCACACACCGCGCAATGAGAGACACGATTGAACGGGGGCCGGGAGAGGGTGGGGGCCCAGCGAGATTGGGCCAGGATTGTAGGTGCAGGCCAGTAAATCGGTCCGAAATTGCCTACGCCTGCCAAATCACGATTTACATGCCCCTATAATTATTCAGTATTTGAGCACATTGTGGCCATGAACTTGAGGATTCGTACAAAATAAGGATGGGAGCCGTGCACTGGAACGTGAGCTTATATTTCTGTGTAATTTAGATGAAATTGGGGCCCTAAAAGCGCTCTCTATTGCAATGGAGTGTAGGCACCGTTTTTCAAAATGGTGATGGGCTTCAGGACTGTATTTTAAGGGATGATTATATTCAGGTGGAAATTTTTCTCAAAATTTATCAAGTTAAAGAAAGACCATGAAATAAGCTTTAAGTTTGATGTGTGTCTCGAAAACCTTGGAGAGTAAATTGTGAGTATATTTCCAGACTTTCTGAAGTGGAGCCATTTATCATTGGGTCTTTATTGCACCCATAGGGACACTGTTAAAAGCGGGCCCTTATATGGACGCCCTCGGACAGTAGGTGGCGCTCTTCATCGCTGCCGACTGACGTGACTCGCTTTTTCTGATGATGTCGCCGGCCCCTTCGCGCTCCCCCCTCCCGACTCGCTTTTAAAATCTGTAGCCGGTTGCAATTTGCAACTGTGCAACCCCCCTCCCCCCGCTATGACACTGCCCTGAGGTGGGTATTATCGGCGCTAAGAATGTCGTTAAAAGGAAGAACAACAAATATCAAGCAGCGGCATCCATTTTTAGAGATCTTCGAAATACTGCATCGTCACGCACACATTTTTTCAAAATAAAGTATGACATTTTTAAAAGATGGTGTATAGAGCCCACGTGCCTTTTAAACTTTTTAAATTTTTTTTTCCGAACGAAATATGAAGGACTGTTATGTCCTTTAACAAATAAATTTGTTTGTTTGAGTTTGCAGGCCTCTTCTCAGATTTGAAAGTTGGCTTTAACTGACGCGCTCCAGTTCTGAAACTGCGCACACTATTCAAAACGAATTAAGAGCGTCCCGCTCTTCATTCGAAAGTTAAAATTAAATAATTTATTGCTTGGTATGGGCCGATTTTTTTGTTCAATGTTTCATTTAAAAGCTCATGAAGTTTTCGATTGAGGAATTTAATTCCATTCGTAATTGTAAACAATATAGTTATTTACGATCATAAGTAAGACTTTTTTTGACACGAGGTATGGAAAGACGTCGCGCCGGCAGATACTCTTAAATTCTAGCACTGTACAAGAGTCGCCCAGGCCCCTATAAGGGGGGGGGGGGGCAGCTCAGTGAAACAATTGTTTTCATAGAAATTATCTGAAAATAATGTGAACCCCCCCCCCTCTCGCTCTGACACCGCCTGTTGGGTTCCAAACTTTTGGCGGGTCATTTATATTCATTATCGGCAGTTATGGAATTGTCCAATTCAATCCTTAAGGTACATTGGGGTTTTCCACTTGACTTTGTTTTTTCTATTTTGTATTTCCAGTTTTAAGGGTGAGGGGCTTTGTTTTCTTGCGTTTTCCTATTTTGCGAATAACAATATATTTGGGGAATGTTCACAATTAAAGAAACGTTATTATTTTGAAACGTAATAAACACATTACAACGTACATTTTTATTTTTGCCTGGTACAATATTGCATACTGCGTTTCTTACTTCAATTGAAAATTGCGACATTAATAATGGCATAGTCATATTGATCGAACAAATTCTCCTCAAAAACAATTTGTCTTAATAATAGGCGGAGAAACCTGAAACATTGCTGTGTGCATCTGTTTTGGCTTCATGGACGAACAAAATTGAAGTCGATGTTTCGGGCAGTAATGAGTCAACCGTTTTCATTTGTTTGGACAATTGTATACGGAAGTCTCGTTAGTAGTAGGCCTACACGTGCGCTAAACATACTTATCGTTACGCAACAATGAACACTATTATTATGTAGGCTATTTTGAAATTTGGCGGGGTGGGGGGGTTCAGACCCGTTTGATTTCTATATCCAATCTTATCATGTTTGTAATTGTTTAGCCTATTTTGTATGTATCAGAGCGGGGGGGGGGGGGTTCCAGCTGGGTGGGGTGGGGGAGGGGGTTCGAATCCCCTGTGGATCCGCGCCTGACTTTTACTGTTTGTATATGGAGAGATACAAATTCTCAACTCTATCACTACTATTTCAACAAAATACGGACGTTTGGAAAAAAAAAAAAGAAACGATAATTTCTTTTTACAGATTTGTTTGGTAACACTGTTATTCAGGCCTCTATGCCTATTCCGTTCGCTGTTCCCAACAGTCCTTCACCAGGCTGTAATCAAACATTATTTTACTGAAAAATAAAGTAAACATTACGTTCTCATCCTTAATTCTAAAAAAAAAAAAAAAAAAAAAAACAACAACAACCACTTCAAATATACACGAAAACAACATTACACAAGAATACCACATTGCACCAGGGGAGCTGTTCACGATACCGATGTGCCTCCTTTATGATAGCGGGAAGGGCTAGGCCGATGAGCTTCACAGAATCTTGTGAAGGAAGTAGGGATGGCATTCTGCCCTATCATGCCCTATATATATAAAGACATAATTAAAGCTACTGTAGCTTTTAAAGGGTACAGGCTAGTCTGGCTCCCTGACCCCATTGACTTGAAAACAAATATCTACAGGTAGGGCCAGGAAACAGTCTACAATCCCGGCCAAAATGATTGGGACATTTCCTCAGCCTAGCAACAGTCACCCACTCCCCCGCTCCCCCGGTCAATGTTGTTCTCTCCAGCTGATGGAGCACATACCGCGCAATGACAGAGAACATTGAACGGGGGCCGGGGGAGGGTGGGGGACCAGTAAGATTCGGCCAGGATTGTAGACCGGGATGCGTTATAGATTAAAATTGAAGTTACGTCACGATGACGTTATCATGTTTTATTTGACGTCACAATGTATGTGCATTTTCTGCAGAACTATAGGTCTGATTTGTTTGTAAATTGGTGTGTACCTAAACGTCACATTTACGTGACGTCATGTTACGTCATCATATCTAATGTGACGTCACATTAAAAAGCTTTTTTTCTAAGGCTTAGATCGATAGGACTATAAGTCCGATTTGGTTGTAACTTTGGATGTACAAGTCAGGGATGTGTTACAGATAAATTGTTAAGTGACTCATGATGACGTCATCCCCTGCAATGTGACGCCGCATTAAAGGTTCATTTTTCTATGCATATATCTGCAGAACTACTGTCCAATTTGGTTGTGGGAATGGGATATGTACCTAAGCCACGGTGTGTTATAGATGAAAATTGAAATGAGATCATAATGACGTCATCACCTTTGAAATGTCGTCACATTGGAGGTACATTTTCGTAATACCGATATCTGCGAAACTATTGGTCCTTATCATTTCTGCAACATTCTACAGCACATGTACATCCCATTAGTCTATAAAGTGACATGCCGAAACAGCCATGGGTTTTTCCACAAACATAATCTAGTTTCTGTATTGTTCTCACTGATAATGCAGTGGTCAGTACGGTCTCGGCCCGAGTCTGTACCCTGATGATTGATCTAGGCTCACGCAGTTGCGGCCAGCGCATGGGGAGATTTGTCCTGCCTCCGGGCGATCCTTGCACCTGTACAGGGGTAAGACTAGGCGGTCATTACCACCACTACGCACCTGAGATGCAGGGACAGGATCCACCGTTGTATATGGACATGCTACCGGAGGTGACTGCTGAGGTCATCGGCCGTTGGTTCAACTGCATCGCGAGCAAACCGGTGGAGTCGACTCTCGGAGTCACTGACACCGGCCCAGAGTCGACTTCTAAAGTTGCCCCGGGGTCGACACCTGTTGCATCGACTCCTGCCGACACGACACTAGTTGTCAGCACTACCCATGAGCCGTCGATGCCGCCTGCAGATTGCCAAGCGATCTTGGATGCTGGTCAGACAACTAGCGGTGTGTATACCATCCAGCACAAACGCCAGAATATGCAGGTCTACTGCCGCATGGAGCCGGAGTCGGGGAAAGGATTCATAGTGAGTACAGTTCCTTACTTTCTCTAAACCATGCTGTATTTATAACATGGCTCGTTGGTGCATTGCCAATTTAACTCGCACAGGTATATGAAGTGACAAAAAAGTTGTTGAATTAAATCGTCTGTCAACTTCCAGTATCGGGCACGGTGTTGAAAGAAAAGCAGTGCAACTACTGTAAAATAATTGAATGTCGGTGCAAACGTGTATACTGTTAATTAGTGAATCAGTAACATTAACAAACACGCGCTGGAGCTAACGAGAAGTAGGAAGATTGCACCATGCAACTGCATATATTATTATCTGTCGCTGTTTCCTACTATTGATAAAACTATTCTTTCTAGCGAAGAGATTTATTTGTGTTTTCCAGTTCCGTATTCTCCCCAGCCAGGAATAAAATAAAAAAATAGCTATATACAGAAAGATCCTGACACCTGGTCAATCTGTTATTCAAATTGAAGTCTGAAACGTCCAACTTTTTCAAAGGCGTTTCACAAATCCACTTTTATACGTGTTGGACATTGCTTAGCACTGCGTTTGATTCTGTTTACAAAAAAGTTTACAAAAATGCCCTTTTTTTTAACCAAATCTGGCAACATAATTGCATTTAGAAAGAGCTGACTTAGCATTTATTGTGGCTCAACTCGGATCATTTGAAAGAGGGGCAAGGTTTTAGCAAGAGTCTTTTCTGCTATGCTAGTGGAAGGTCTCAGACATTGCCAGTACGCTATTTTTGGCGAGTCAGAACTTGAATTTATTAGACCAATTATACTCTGTGTACATGTACATCTGTATACAGTACATTTTAGTACATACAAGTTTAACATAACAACAGCTGACATTGATTTT